TCGAAGCCACTAGATAGAGATCCCGCAAAACGATCAGGACCTCTTATTACAGGTGTTGGTCAATACATACAATTATTGAAAGATTACGATCCTGATTATGTTCCAACAGAAACAGTAGAAGAGAAGAAAAAAAGAAAGGTAAGAAACTAGTTTACATGGCTGTTGAGCCAGCTCCAGTACGTTGTTCATATGATGTTGATTCTGCCACTGCTGGCATAGCTCGAAGAGAAGAAAAAACGTGTTGAGGAAGCAATTAAGAAGGGTCTCGAAGAATGTAAGCCCCATTTGTCTCCAGTAAGTGAGAAAGAGAGACTTAATCGTATTAATACAAATTATTCTGCATTTAGGGGATCCGAATAAAGATGAGAATGTCACCGGAGATCCGTATAAAACTTTATTTGTAGCTAGAATGGTGTGTATTTTGCTTGCTTGTCATAAATGCTATTGCTTTTTAATGGCATCGCCCAGTTTACATTGGGGTATTATTGTCGACTTAGAACTATGACATAACCGAAAAGGACTTGCGCCGAGAGTTTGAAATGTATGGTCCAATAGAAAATGTAAGTTCGTGCGATTATACGCATTATGCTGTGAGTTTAAGCACCACAACAGCTTTCTAACTACTTTGCAACATGTGAATTGCAGATTCGTATAGTCAAAGCTAAAACGTCAGGAAAACCTAAAGGATACGCTTTCATTGAATTCGAAAGAGAAAAGGATATGAAAGGTAACGTTTCTCAAACGTCGTTTGGAAATCTTCGCAGAAACTTTACCCGTTAACATTACGCTTTTGATAATTAGCTGCGTACAAGGACGCTGATGGATTAAAACTGGTCGGAAAACGTATCCTTGTCGACGTCGAGCGTGGGCGAACAGTTAAGGGTTGGAGGCCTCGTCGTCTTGGTAAAAAAGTCAATTTATACACGTTTTGTATATATATAGAATTGCTCCTTAAATATTTCGACAAGTTTTTACTTATGCATTCTGTTTGCTTTTTCAGGTGGTGGATTGGGCGGCACACGAATTGGTGGTCCAGATCAAAACCAAAAGTATTCTGGTCGTGAAGGCACATATTCCCATGTGAGCTCATCAAGCGGTGGATATGAGCGTGAGCATCGCGGTCATTCAAGAGGGAACGGTCATTCTGGCTATAATGGAGGGCGTTACAATGGCACTAACAGCAGCAGCAGCAGCAGACACAGTTATAGTGGATATGACCGTGATTACAAACGTCGCGCTCGAAGCCGATCGCGAAGTCCTCCTCCTAGTCATCGCGAGGATAGATATAATAAAGGTAGAGACAGAGACAGAGATCGCAGACGTGATCGTCGGTAAGAGTAACCCCTCCTCCCAATTGTGAATATACAAGGCAAGAGTTTGTCCTGATAGATGGTGGTGTTATTTCCCCAACTTTTTCTTTTTAATTGGTTGGTAAGATATGCTGTGTAGAATTTGTATCCGTTGATATAACACTATCATCGAGTTGGTGAGTTGCGAGTTAACCCTGAACGAACAACGGCATGAAGGGAAATTTGTAAATGAGGCTGTGAAAGAACATTTTGAATTTACCCTTGTAATTAAAAGCAGTGCATTAGGGTTCTTCTATTTCTATTTCTTTTCTTTTTATAGAAATTGTAAAGGTGACGCATAATAGGTAAAACATAATGGGTGAAATAGGTAATCTCTTGTTTTATTTTATTCCGTTCTTTTAATATTGTGATTGGGTAAGTGGGTAAGTGGGTAAGTGTAGAGAAACAAACTTTATGAGCTATATTATGGACAGATGGCATACAACCATGTGTGATGGTGAGTATGGAATATTGCTGAAGCCTGAAGATGAATTCAAGTAATTGAAGTTGGAATTTTGTGTCCATAAGACATGAATGATATACGTGCTATTTGAACAAAATGAATTTTGGATTGTAATGTCCTCTGCTGAATGTTATGGTAAACCTGCCTACGATTTCATACCTTAATTTTGTAATACACCCTTATTCTATTTTGTGCTCTTATCTCTGTCTGTGATTATCGTCGTCTTTTGATCACTTATGTGCTTAATCTTAAATTCGAATGTATGATTGAGAAAAAATTGGATGGCAGTATGATATATTGAATCGTGCTTAGATGGACCAAGAGGTATATCTCATCTGGCGAGAGAACAGAACAGAAATTGTTCCGATATGACCTGGTACCGGTAAGAATGCTTCGTCCCCTGATCTTGTACGAATGAAACGATAAGTTCATCGATTTGCTATGCGTATTACTTTTCCTATTATTCCCAGATCAAAATTACAGAACAATATGTTTGTTTTTCTTTTTAACCCACATCGATTATGGTTTTAAAAAGATGATTATCTAATAATGTGAGAACTATACGTCTAAGATTCAGGAAAGGTTAAGATTGGGCTTGGATAAGTTGTTTTATGTTTTTTGAATTTTTTTTTGAAATAGTCGTCGTCTGAGTCTTGTCATTAACAGAGATCGCATAAAAACGCGTGATAGACAGGAAGTGAAACAATGTGAAGTCCGCCCGAATATTATTCGAATAAGGCAAGTCTTTAACTTTCTTGGACATCGACCTGGGTAAAATTGTTTCTATTGGGATAAAAATCTTGTGTATGCTGTATGCTGTATTCGTTGCGAAAATAAAAACCATCTGATATGGGATGTTAGAGTTTCGTGTGTATGCCGCTGACAAGTTACAGTATCTATTTATTTTCACCGACCTTTGTGTGTATAACACATGACTACAATTCAGCTACGGTTTCATATTATTGGAGTTTAAAAAAAAAAGAACCCATGAACATATACATAATTGATGATAATATCAATTCAAGTCAAACGATAAACGAGCTTTCTCCAATGGAATGCATCAATTAATGAGTGTTGGAAACCGAATTTCTAGAAAAGAATTGACTGATTGTATGCGTACATAAAAAGACAAAATGTGTTTTCAAATGTATTGGAAGAAACTGTTGGGTGGATGAATATATAAATAGGTTTGTTCATTTGCGGTTAATCCTCACGCCCGTTTCTGTTCACCAAAAAATTGAACGGGACGTGATGTTAATTTGCGTCAAGTTTAGGTATTAATTAATCACAATATATGATCTGCATTCTTCAGTAACTTCAAATTCTTCGTAATGTCAAACGAATCAAAGGTGCCATCTACTCGTATAGGTCGATTGCTTCAATTTGGGGGTAAATGAATAGAGCCAGTATTTTCTAACACTGACTCTTTTTTAGATTGCATGCCATATCTAAATTTATTTTTTCATTATTAGGCTTGGCTGTTGGTTTAGGCATTGGAGCTGTGAATGAGGCTGTTAGACGAGCGACAAGTACAGATAAATTAGAATCAAATACATCCCTGCTAATGAGTGAATCAAATATCGATTTACTTGTTAACAAGTTGTCGCATATGCGCGGAGCAGCTATGAAACTTGGACAAATAATTAGTATTCAGGGTACATGACATTTGTAAAACGGGCAACCGGAGGTTATCGTATTAACATTCGTCTGCCGTCTTTAGACAATGAGGTGGTTCCACCACAATTGAGACAAGTCTTACTGAAAGTTCAGAATAGCGCGAATCATATGCCTGGTTGGCAACTAGAGGTTATTTATTATCTTAATTACAAAATCGTATCAAATACACGGAACGTTGATATTCAATTCTTAAGATGTTATGTAATTGCACTTGCTTTCATCCCAGAAAGTCATGAAACAAGAACTCGGTACCAACTGGCGTGACAATTTCCGCACGTTCGATCGAATACCAACGGCAGCCGCGTCAATCGGTCAAGTACATTTTGCTGAACTTGCCAGCAACGGAATGCCCGTGACTGTCAAAGTGCAGTATCCTGGAGTGGTGGATGCAATTTCGTCCGATCTGGACAATTTACGCGGTATATTATTGGTCAGTGATCTTCTTCCGAAGGGTCTATATCTTGACAACACTATAAGAGTGGCAAAGAAGGAGTTAGCATGGGAGACCGATTATAAGAGAGAGGCCGAGTGTATGAAGAAATTTGGTGAATTGCTAAAGAGTGACACCGATTTCGTCGTCCCAACGGTTGTCGATGATTTGACAACCGGAATGGTGATGACTTATCAGAGGATGATGGGGGAACCTTTGAATAAGGTTGAATCGTATGATCAAGAGACTAGAAACAAGGTGGTTAGAATGTGCTTGTACTTGATTGTCTGGAATTTATACTTATTCGCGTCTCTTTTGTGATAGATAGGTGCTAACATCCTTAAACTGTGTTTACGCGAATTGTTTGAATTTCGGTTTATGCAAACTGACCCAAACTGGACAAACTTCCTTTACAACATCTCTACGCAAAAGGTAATACCAAGAATATGTCTGTACATTGTTAATGCTTATAACATAAAGTCCCGTTCATCTACTACAGATTGAGTTATTAGACTTTGGAGCAAGTCGCGGGTTCGATGATAAATTCGTAAATCTCTATCAAGAGACACTGAAAGCTGCTGTGCGTTCAGATGAAGAGGCCTGCATACATTACTCGACGGAAATGGGATTCTTGACTGGATATGAAACAAATGTAAGAGAAACATCCTTATCGTCTATATTATCAGTGATACCACTTTACTTTGTCTTCCGTTTTAAGATCAAGTACCTAATTGATAAAACAGACGATGCAACAAGCCCATGTCAGTTCAATATTGACTCTAGGCGAGCCGTTTACTCGGCCGGTGTATGATTTTTCCACGCAAACGGTGACGACACGTATACGGGATCTAATTCCTACCATGCTCAAATACAGATTGACACCACCGCCTGAAGAATCTTACAGTCTACACAGAAAACTATCGGGAGCATTCTTACTTTGTACTAAATTAAGGGCAATAATATCGTGTCGAGATATCTTTGAGAGCATCGTCGGTGACCCGTACAATGAAAAATCTTGATTAAAATAAAGTTCGAATTCAATGACAATTTTGAGAATGAGTAAGTCATAGATGAGATGAATTCGAATCTATAATGTATAGAATCATAAATAAAAATGAAGTAATTCTAATATTATTTAATAAGTGATCGATTAATAATTTAGAGGTGTGTTTGAGTTGTCTATTTTATTTTAACCTTTGCAATCTAGTTCCAATCATCATCGTCATTATCCTCAGGTGGATTCTGTGTTCGATTGCGCGCTTTGATCTATAAGGGAGACATCATTAAGCACAAAAAAATGACGATAAAGATCAAAAACGTATTACTATCGAGGAACTATAACTCACCGCATCAGCAATACTCGCGGTTCCCGGTCGTGGTGGAGCGACTGGCGGTGGCTACAGTTATCATAAATTAATTAGCATTTAATGCACTCAATTATGACAATTGATCATGTCAACTACAGTAATAAGCAAGTTGTGTACCTTTACACCAACACCAGGTTTTCGCGGAGCAGCAGGTTTTGTCGCAACCCCAGGCTTCTTGGGCACAATTGGGGGTTTTCGAGCACCTAAAACCGCAATTCGCATGTCATCTCAACATTTAACTTTCGATCTAAATCAGAATAATGAAGACTTACCAGCAGCCGGTTTAGGCGGAGCAACCGGAGTCGGACGAGATGCAGATACGCCTGGAGTTTCTTTTCCACCGGCGGCCTTGGCAGCTTTTCTGGCTTCCAAATCTTGTTTCCACTTAGGAACACCTCCAGTGGCCGGAGCCAGTCCAGGCATAACTGGAACGGGTGCTGTATTAGAGCTGTTGGAAGAAAAGGGCGGTTTCGGAGGTGAAGTTTTTTCGGCTGCCGGTGGTGGTGGCCGTTTGCTCGGCAAAGGGGGGGCTGGTGCAGGTTTGGGCGTTTCAACTTCTTCGAGATAATTACTTGGCACCCAGCCTTCCTTGCCATCTTTGCGTGCTAGCCACCATCCATTGTCGACACCATCAGTCTCTTTCTTGATAATTTCCAATATGTCATCTTTCTTAAATGATAATTCTCCTTGCTCTTGTGACGCAAATTCATAAATACCCTTGTACGTAGGATTTTTTGGCGGAGCGGGAGGAGGGGGAGAAGAAGCAGATGGAGGTGGAGGCGGAGGTGGCGGATCTCTTTTTGCAGGACTCGAAGCCGGCGGTTTGGTCGCTCTACCTGTTGACGCGGATGAAGGGCTCGGTTTCTTTGTTCTTCTAGAAGCAGCCGGTCGAGCTGACTCTTTTCTTGGACAAGGGGGGTCAGAAACACTGTCCGGAGGCGAACCGGAGCAGACTGAAACTGTGTGGCTTTTATAGACATCGTTCTTCGTTACAGTTTCGTCTTTTGTAAATTTGATCGTTGCAGTCTTGCCTGCTTTCCTAGTATATTCTATTTGAGATGAAACATTGACACTTATACGACCACCGGTGCGCTGGAGAAGATGAGCTACGAATTCCGTTTTAAAGAAGCAGGAGAAGACTGGGTCTCCGGTTTCTTTAGTTGGATTATTAATGTGCAATATCACCCAATCGTCACGAAGATTCGAGAGGCTTACGCCACTAATGGCGTTGAGGGAAATTGTACGTTCTATGGACATGGTTAGGAGCTTCTTTTCGAGTGTCGAGATTACAATGAGGATTGATTTGTCCGTCTGTTGAAAGTCGGTAATGAGCAAATTTCGATTTAGAATAGGTACAATAATTGCCCTAAAATAATTACAAATCCTTTTAAATTCATAGAACTTACCATTACAAGGTGACGAGGACTTGGCTTACTCGATCTACCAAGTCGAGGAACCAATAGCTGGATTTTTGCACTAAAGGCAACTTGATCATTTACTGATAACAAAAACAAAACATTGGTCGGTCGTTAGCTATTCTGAATTTAACAAGCACTGTTGTCATTACAGTAATCGTACCTCCAAGATTACAAGCATTTCTCAAAAAGTCTCCACTACCACCCGGTTTTCCAACAGACAAATAATCTCCCATAAATTTTCTCATGCTTAGTAAACTAAATCTTCTTCTCTCCTTTCGACCTGCAAGTACTTGATGACCGTAATCACGAAGTTGTAGGTATACGATTTGATCTTTGTTTTTCTTCCAACATCTCTGAATTCGCGTTGCACATTCGTTTTTGTAGCGAACATAACTGCGGTAAGCACGCTGGATACGCATTGCCATGTTGTGCCAGAAGCGATCACGAAGATGTTCGAGGGCCCAGATCTAAAATTGAATTGTCGAGAGAAAGGTAAATGACGGAATGCATGAATAAGGACATATAGAACAAACAGCAAATGACGGCGATACAGTGAGTAAGTGATAATATTAAACTGTTTCACTTACCGTCTCTGGATGCCTAATAAAAACTTTCGTGACACCCATCTGCCATTCCTCCTTGGCGATGCCACAGTCTTTGAGTATACGTTCAGAACCTGATTTGACGTCTCCTTGCCACGTATATTCACCAGCATAAGAAGTTGACCGAGACAGCAAATAAAACCTGATTATTAAAAACGCAAAACGTTAGTATACTCAAAGGCGTATAGAACGAGCAATCAATGCGATGCACTTAGTGTGCCTGCTCAGTGGGAAGATTAGCTTATCGACATAACTACCTTTCTAAGAATTTTTCAAAAGTCTGTCGATAAGCAAAGCCAGCACGACGAACTCTAATATTTTCATTTAAACCAAGATATTTGATCTGATGAAGTACCATCTTCTGATCATATTCCTTAGGGCTCTTGTTATGATTGGGTTTTATAGTACGAATATACGATGGTTGTGCCTGCATTAAGTTTGTGACGAGATCATTTGCTGATGACTACAAATAATTAAATATAAATATTCGTTGTTAATAATTGATACCAAACAATATGTCTGTCAATGGGCATGACTACAGATATCAGACCTTAATCTTGTCGCTAGCTGTTGGTGGCCTTTTTTTTGAGTCGCGATCCACTTTATTGGGAAACAGCGTCTGTAGAAATGCATTGCTACTGGATGCAATCAGTTCCAATAAATCCTTCACAAGCTGATCTTTGTTCTTGTCCGTCATTCCCGGTATGGTATACAACACATCGCCAGCATAGTGTTTAATCAAAAATTTACTGCCGCGTGACTCGAAATGAGGGTTAGAACTTAGGAAACCCAGTCTTTGAACAAAAGAATTGTCGGCAGCATCCGAGTCAGCATGAGCTGTCGCACATGCATCATTCATAGCAGCAAAGATACCGGGTGGTCGTTTCTCTTCGATCAAGTCGCAGACTATCTTATTATTGAAAAAGTCGATTGGAGTCCACTTAATCTTTTCTCTAACATACTCTTCTTGTTCTGTTTTAAGAGTAAGTTCGATGAAAATTTGCTGAAGTTTTTCGTTCACGTAGTTGATGCAAAGTTGTTCAAACGAATTCTCGTCGAATATTTCAAAGCCATAGATATCGAGTACACCAATTACATACGATGACTTTGAGCGTTCGCGCATAGCACTGTTAATGCGCTCCACTATCCATTCAAAGAGGTTATTATAGATTGCTTTAGCTAAAGCATCCCTTACTGCTGCAGCCTGGTTGACAAGCGGAGGTGGGTTAGTATTTTAATCAAAGCATTGAATATGTATTAAAATACTCACCTGTACTGGATTGAGTGGAACGTCGTATACAGATCCTCTACGTCCTCCACGCTGGGTCTCAATAGTTCGATTAGTAAGAACCTACATTCAATATTAGTATGTTCAGTATCAGCGTATATATATATATAAACGATTCATACAAGTATTACCTTGTTAACAGAATCAGCGTCAACTTCCATAATGTAAGCAATGAAGTTTGTAACTATAATATACGTTGATTCTTTTTTAGCATACTGTCACATTTTAAAAAGGGTGGGCGCATACTACCAATTACCGTTCTCATCGACAATGACGGCCGAGTTTTGATCCTCTCCTTCTGCAAATTGTACATTGCCAAGCCATAATATTATAGCCAACATTGCAAATATACCGTCCTGTTCTTCTTGCGAGAGACCAATAATATTCATTGCATCCTAACATTTGACATTGTTAAATTACGTAAGCTAGATGACAAACTTTTCCACTTAAGTGATAAGTTCTATTCAAATACCAGAGTCTCTGAAAAATCGTTGACATCATCTATCCCATGGACATCTAAACAGCCACTACCATTTGTATACAGATAACTCTCGGGACCCTGTATTCCAAATTTTTCTGTAATAAAATGGTGTGTTTTAAAAGACATGCAAGCGGAACGCGATTGCCGTAATAAAATTGCGTGCATACCTTGGTATTCTGGAGATGCAGCCTTGGTGAATTGATAAAATATGTGAAAGTTTCTTTCATTTTCTATCTGACCCACAACGCGACCCTAGAGTAAACATCGAATCAGTATATAGAACATGCATATGCTTTTTGCCGATATTTATCGAACAACTGTACAATACCTTCTCTAGTAGGTAGTTGGTGATCTTGGCACCGACTGGCTCACCGTTGGAATTAAACAAGATTTCCAAGTATTTACCCTAAAAAATGAAAAACTTTTAAGTAAAATCAGTTCCCTACTTCTTTTGAATATTTTTGTATGCACTCACATGACGTGATGAATTGTTATTTCTTAGCGTCTTTGCGCAGCCAAAACTCTCAAGTAAGGGATTAGTGGCTAAAACCATATCTTTGATTTCTTTGATAGCTGATGATCCACTACCGCTGACTGTTGCAATATATTGCATAATCTATCGAAAAGCACACGATTTTTAATATGATCGCATTTCAAACGGGTTTGATATCGAATATGTGAAATTACCCTTTTTGCGGCCTCTGCAGTTAACGGAATTGGTTTCAGCAAGTTATTAAAAAAGCATTATTAATATACATCTCGATCACTAAACTAACCTGTTTTTCCAGCTCCTGATTCACCACTTTTAACCATGAATGTTACATAAACGAACGCATGTTAATAATTGTTAAGAATGTATTGTGAATCTCCAAATGTATGAATGTTACCTTATGATGATACATTGGTTCTCTTTGTAGCTGTTCATATGATAGTATGACGATTCTGCCACAGCATATACATGAGGGGGCATCTGAGATAAATATCGTCAATTAACAATATATAACTTTATCGGATAATATGTCTCCTCTCTTTTAACCAATATTCTAAACTCTGATTAATTATACTCTGTTAGCTTACCTCTAGTCTATTCTTTCCTGTATAGCTTTTTAATACTTCATCTGTATAAATGCCAAGATCTTTGAACGGATTAACACTGATCAATACATGACCAATGTAAGTCTGTTTAATAAAAAATCCAGAGTAAGCATACATATAAATTGATCCAACCAAAATACTTTAATGACGTTAACCTTCGGTCAAACATACGTAAATTTCTCCGTTCTCGAATCTTTTCCTCAAATTTTCGTTTATGGCATCGTTGTTGACTTTGCTCAACATAGTCATGTCAGCCACGCCGACCTGCTTCTTTTTGAAGCCTTCCTTCCAATCGGCTTTTTCTATTTTCTGCAACTGTGCTTTCTTCTTTGGCGGCTACGTTTTGACATGGGAATTTTAATATATAGAATATGACGTTTATTCGAGCTAATCATTTACATCAGAAATTAAACTAATATTAGATAGGTAATTTTACAAGTAAACATGATGTACCATTATTTCGTTTTCAAATAATCAATTGGAAATAAAAAGAAAAATCCAACTTTGTGTTCCTTACTCCAACACCACTTTCAAGATAAACAGTAATTGATCCGTTTTATGTAGTTTCACGGACCAGCACACAATTGATAGGCACGTCCCGTGATCTTCAGATCATTTGGCACGAATATGCAACTCCCTACTTGGCTACTTGGGCCTTATTTACCATAAACTAATCTGTACGACACTCCCATCGATTAAACTTTTTTAGTTATAATGACAGTAGCAAACATTCCGATAAAATATATTCAATAATAATAAAGTTGTTCTAAATCAATATGTTCGTGATAAACTAAAAGAAATGGTGGAAAGTTTGGTTGTCTATAAGCAATCTTTAACTTTCCGGTAATCCAAATATTTTGAGCCAGGATAATTTCCCCCCCTATTAACAATATCGAAATCTGATTTGGGACAGAACATTATTGCAACCAACCTAATAATGCTATTGGCTGCCAATTAATTTTGTCTGCGTGTACTAATACTAGGACGTCATAATTTGGAACTGTGAGTAGAAGTTTTTGTTCGGTCTAATGTAAACCCGTAATATAAAGACGTGTTTGTAAGAAAACAGATATTTGAGTAAATACAGATGAAACATCTCTCGACTATCGAACGCCGTAGTGAATTCGACGGGGATTTTTTTAAGCTCAAGCGTAATGCTTTGCTTAGTGGCGAGACTTTGACCCGATTTAACAGTACATTACAAGCCAGTTTCAATAGCATGTCTAATAATTTTAATCTTATTGTATGTTTACATACCTGTATACACTCCCATGACAAGAGTCTCCGGAGACTTTTGTCATGGGAGTGCGGTAATCTGAATTAAACAAAATAAGCAAAACACGCAATTGAAAGCAAAGCAGCCCGAGCTTCTTAATCCATCTTTTGAATAGGTGGCGCGGTTATATTGGTTCTAAAATTATCGCTAGTCTAAAAAATTGGGCCCGTGAAAAGCATAAGTTATGTTTCTACAAAAAGAAAGCATGAACTTCGTATTAAGCGTAGGTCAAGTTTAAGACAGATGTACTCCAAATGAAGGCAAGTCATAATCAAATTTTGAGTTGATGCCGTATACCGAAATTTAGATCAGTTACAGACGTGACTAGCAAGGAAGACAATCAAACCAGTTGCTGCAATTATGAGTTTGTTTGCATATAATTAACATATTCGCACACAATCTTGATTGAAAGGGGATCGTTACAACTTTATGCCAGTTGGATGTTCACATTTCGCTTGCTTGGTAAATTTATGAAACGTGACATTGCCTTTTCCTTCTTAAAACATTCTTCATAGGAATTGAATTTTAGAATGGTAGTGTACCTAAGAATTCTGTTGTTTGCTTAAAATTCGGTACGTTTAAATATGACCATGATTCATTACTGAATATGAATTCGGGATCCATCAGATGAGAAATGGGCAACAACTCAGGGTTACCAAAAATGTTGTAATTTATTTCAATACGCTACAAATTTAACCACATTTTGCGTGTAATCACCTCCAGTAAGAAGAGATAGCATTATTTCTATCGTCCTCTACTGTCTGTCTTCGTCAGTACTGTATGGAGTGATAGAGTCATCATACTCCGTGCTAAACTTGAATTCGGACTCATCTTCGATCTCACTTGCGTTCATAAAGGGACCATTCGCAGGATACGATTCGATCACTGTATTATCGTCCGACATTGTCGGAAATTCGACGTTCCTCCCAGACCTCGCCTCAATCTCACCAATCTTCCTTTCTTCTACAACTTGTGGAAACTCGATTATGGCCTCAGCAGCACCAATCAATTCCTCAAACAAATCAGACCCCATGTCCTCTTCTTCCGGCAACAATTTCTCTATCGCTTCTTTCTTTTTTCTATCGCTCCATTCATTATGTCGAGCTATTTCCAATACATTCTCTGCAAATTCTATTATCACTTCCTGAGGCATGTCTCCACCTATAATCTTGTTATTAATGAGAGAAAGTAATAAGTCGTACGTTTCACGATACACTGAGCTAGAGTGTGTAGAAAAGATGATCCGAGAGCGATCTGTTGAGTCAGATGGGACGGCTAATGGTATACGACTTGGTTCGGGTGCTGGATGAGGCGAGATTAAATCAGCCGGTGATGAAGATCGAGGAATACGCCTTAACGGCTTCGTATGGACTACTCGGCTACCAAAGTCGCTATTGGGTTATACATTTTATCTTGGGCTAATTAGTAAATGCACAGCTAAATATATCTTGTTATAATAATAGGTGAGTATAAACCAATACCGTGGGTCTATGTGATCTGTTAAAGAAGGAAGTTCCACTTTCTCGCCGGGAGCTAATACTTCTGAGTTCATTGTCAATGTATTCTATTCGCCGAATGATGTCGTCTTTGCGGATTTTATCACTATTTATCGTTTTATAACCTGAATTTGTAATCACGCCACATTTGTAAAAGCCTAAAAATAAGATTTCATCACAAGTGTGACTGCTTTTGCCTTGTCGAACAATATTTAGTTAGATCGATTGCTTTGGCTTCTCATTTAAATAGTCGATTAGCCCAAAATATATCCGTTCATTCTCTTACAGCTCTTATTACGTCCCAATCGTTTCTTCAGCCAGACTATGAAAGAGCGCTTCTTATCTTTTTAAGCGAGCATTTGTCCAATCGTTATTCTTCAGTAGTAACGCATTTATCGTGATCATATTTTGACGAGAGCCATGCAGCCAGGGATGAAAATTGTTGACATTATTTAACCGATATGTTGCTAATAACAAATTTCTTGGGAGGGTTTACTCCTAAAGTCTTAAAATATTAGCCCAGTCTGACCACTAACTTCTGCTCTAATATTTTTCTCTGTCGTCTTTGTTTCTATCTTTAGATTCTTCTAGTTGTTTCTGGCAACATTTTTATCGTCGAATGTACATTTAACGTTGAATACTCGAATATTGCTGCTAGACTATATTTTGCATCGAGAACTAGTCTTAGGTAGACGTCATCGTTTTTACCCTATAAGGACTCGGTGAAGGTTGCGATGAATCGATAGCAATACTTTCTATAGTCATTTTTGGGACTATCAATACAGTATATGATAAACCTCGTAATAAGTCTATTAAATGCCGCCTTGACATGTTGCTTAGATACAGTTGTGTAATTATTATAATTGCACCGAGCATTCGAGTTAGTGACATCAAACAAGATGTGTAAATAGATATATATTTAGTTTAGCTATTGACTAAAACCGAGTATATAGAATTGAAGTTTTGCAGTTTTATTAATATTCCGCCCTTTATTAATTGTGAAAAAATCCCTTTAGTTGCGTCTAATAAAAAACGCAATATAAAAAGTTTCTCACGCCTTTGTTTCATATGTTGTGTTGATTTAGAAGAATTTCGGAGGTAAAGTTTGAGGAGCATTTCGGATCATTATTCTATGCAATATTTACGTCTAGTCTAAATTAAAACTGGTATTATTCTCTTTATCTCTTTGTACTACAAGTATATTGTTTCAATGGTTTCTGTCATATCTAACATCATAATCATAATAACAAGATATTCGTTGATTGTTGTTAACTTTGTAAACTTTGTATTTGACAACACTTTTATTGCGGTCAGAAAAAGTTTGTAAAGACGATGCTAAATAGAGGAATGGGATTAGCCGATTTATGAATGAAATCAATTGCTCGTAATGAAGCTCAGCTGCACCCCCTTCCATTGTAAACTGTACATGAACATAAACCCAAAAATTTATTGCATGTAATAAACTAGCGGTGTGCTTATTCACGAGAAGATACATTATATCGGAATTTAGAATGAACCAACCCGATTACACGAATCTGAGTAAACATATAACAACAGTCCCTTGTTGTGATGGCTCCGAGCTGATCAATTATCGCGTTACGTTGTCATTGAACTTGGTTATCAGAAATTCGTTTACTCGTTGTCGAGAAATCGCTTTTTTCCCCCACCTTACTAAAACAATTGGCCAAAAGGAGTAATGAATATCAGCGATATTATGTTTTCGTTTCCTGGAAGAACGGCTGCGATGCAACCAAAATCCATGAAGAATTATTCAATGCAGAGGGGGAACGAGCACTATCTATTGTCAAAATTAGACGATGGATTATTAAGTTCAAAGACGGGAAAACTAGCGTTGATGACAAGCCTCCGACGCCCTTGCGAAGCAGTGACGTCAGAAAACATTGCAAAGGTCCAGGAACTCGAAGGAAACCGCTGTATGGACGACTATCGGAGTCGTCATTGCTATACTGTTCTGTTCGATTCGGTAAGTGATTACAAAATTATTAATAATTATTCCCTATTAAGTGCACTATTTGTAAATTTAAACGTCTCGTTCAATCTAGAGATTGCACGGTTTGGAAACCCGAATCAACAATCGATTTACGAGCATGGAAAATGGAATCAACATTCGATTTACGAGCATGAATGATGAATTAAAGCGCATGAACAATGAAATCAAGGGCATGAACGAACGAATCAACAATCGATTTGAGAAAGATGTTTAAAAAAGACTTTACTACACTATCAGGAACTTCATAAATATTAATTCTCTTCAGGAATATTAAGAAATTCTTCTGTCAGCATTGTGTTTGACTGTTGAAGCTCATGAAGTGCATTCGTAAGGTCATTCAGTATAGAGGGCTCGTTTTTGAGATTCAGTAAGCATAGTTCTCTTGAGAGACATTTGAGAATTTTTGCATCAATGCTCAAGTGTGAACAATTATTTATATTTACTGCATTTATCTTTTGTGTAATTATACTATTTAGGAAACCTTTTATGCCATTATTGTTTCATACTAGTGGCAGTGCAGATTTGTAAGCATTTGATTGACTGATATCACGATTTAATTGGCTGACTTTTTTGAATTCACGTGTGTGCACTTAAGTCGTTTGTTGTTTATATAAACAACAAACGACTTAGATTAGACTATAATAGTCAGGTATGACGTGCGTTTTGCATTTGCCTCGTCACTCGAGTGACGAGCATTTTGCGTTTGTCTCGTCAAAGATGAGACGTTTATAGTCTGCTCATCAGGTGACGTGTAAATTGCGTTTGTATCGTCATTCGAAAGCCACCAAGGTACGTATTGTGGCTTGACGTTCGATTTCTATTTTTTACGTCACTCAAATGACGACTGTGGCTAATTTTTGTCGTCAGGTCACATGCCAACTATTGTATGCTAATTTGGCAACCGTATCTGATTTTCGTTGCTGGGTCACATGAGTAAAAAATATATATCTGACGATGCATTCAGTCGCGTGTCGTCATTTGTAGAGTCATATAGCCAAAGTATATGCTATCGGGGTCTATTGCAATTATATTATCGGGTATGCTATATACATGTTATCTGGTTATGCTATCGAAAAAATGTTATATATACTGTATATGCTACCAGGTATGCATCGTATAATTGTTATCTGGGTATGCTATATACACGATATCTGGACACACTAGCAGTATATGCTATCAAATATGCGTTGCGTAGTTGCCATCAATTAATGCGACCAAATATGTATGCTAAGTATGTTGTGTAAATGCTATCAATAATGCTATCGGGTATATGCTATCGACCAATGCTATCGACTAATGTTATCAAATATGCATGCCGATTTCGAGTATTCGTATCCTGGCTTTGTATGAAGCATTCGAATATTAATCAAGGATGAGACACGTAGTGCCAAATTGTTAACAGTTGTTAGCTTCGTATAATTTATTCGATTATCACCCGAGAATGAGGCACGTAGTGCCGAATTGTTAACATATCTGATAATGCACCAAAGCATCCAATGATGAGGCACGTAGTGCCGAATTGTTATCCCTATTTGGTAATGTACTAAAGCATCCGATAATGAGGCACGTAGTGCTGACTTGTTATCCTTACTCTCGGTGACCCACCAAAGCATAATTTTATTATATATGTATATATCTGTAATAATTTTACCTTGGTGTCCCACTTTTTTACTCGAAATAATACTCACCTGGTGACCCACTTTTTTACTCAAAATATTACTTATATGGTGCCCTACCAAGGCATAATTTTATAATATATTTATATATCTGTAATAATTTTACTTTGGTGGCCCAAGATTTTTAAGCTATTTTATTACTTTCTTGATTACTCATTATTTTTTATATTAAAAAAAAATCTTGGTGGTCCAAAAAATATTACTTATCTAATGCACTCAGATATTAATTGAGAATGAGGCACATATTGCTAAATTGTTATCTCTTATTAGCTTTGTAGTATGCATTCGAATATTTAAACTTTTCTATTATTATTATATGGCTGTCGATTAATCCAATATGTATATTTCCAAACTTAATATCCTCTGGAACCTTTCTTTTTTCTACTACTTTTTATAGTGTAGCCACACCAATTACCCGCTATTGCATTAATAAATTTTACTGTAGCATTAAGATTGGGAATACCTTTGGCTCGAGATCTAAAACCAAAGAGTAATAATGCTTCTTGCCGAATTTTAATAATTTTTTCACAAGAATGTTCGAAAGCTATTGTTACAGTATCACCAGAAAAAATACGTGTATCATTTATATCAATAAAACCTAATGATTGAAAAAGTTCTTGTATAGCTTCTTCTTGTTTTGTTAGATGTAAATATAGATCAACAGAATCATTACTACATATACTTAATGTATCTCCCTCATCGGCAGTATAATATTCTAAATCGCTTTTATTTTCAGTTTGCTGGTATGAAGGACCAATAATTTCACTCATATTTGGATTAGTTGTATAATTAGTATCGTACAAAATTTAATTAAGATACTTTGATGACCTACCACTTATCACGTATTCAGAATTTTAGCGAAGACTTATTGTTAAAAAAATCTAATTGTGTCACATACGCATTACATTTTAAAATACAATGCGATTACTTATCCGAAACTATATCTCGATCAAAATTATGCAACACAAAAATGGTCATTGAATATCTCGTATATTTTGTAACGTGACCACTTACCTTATCCTCTATATTGGAAGCACTTACCTAGAACTTTATTTCGATCAAAATTACGCGACACAAAAATCCCCTTTATATGGTGTAGGTATCAAAGCATTAATTTTTTATTTGAATTTTTTCCCGCACTTATTTGTAAGAGGTGACAAAAATCCCCTTACCTGAGATAAATAACTAGCTGAATGTAGCAATCTCTCTGCTTCAGAAATTACTATTTAGCCAGATAATATTATCTTGATACCTTATACTCGCTTTGTTGGAAGATCTATAACAATTACACATATTCAATGATTGCTAAAGATTTATTTTTCAGCTCTTTTTTGTACAGAGTAGTAGGAACTTTCATTTTCGCCTCAAA